CCTGCTGAGGGCCAGCCCGGGGCCCCGGCCCAGGAGTCAGGGGTGGGCTCTAGCCCCAGAAACATACCGCTTTAGGACAAGCCATTAGCTCTAAGCAGAGCCAACCCCATTTCCCCAGCCCAGCCCCACCTCAGGGACCTGACTCTCCCAAACTGGCTTTGTCCTCCCCATTCACGGCTGCCCCCATCCATCTAGGAGCCAGGGGTCCAGCATTCTCTCGACGCCCCACCCCTAGGAATCACTAAGGGGCTTCCGAACCCAACCCATCCCTCATTCCCAGCCTTGGTGAGGCAGACAGGTCTGATACCCACACCCTGTGTGCACCAGGCCCCCGCTGCCCCTGGACCCCAGAAACCCCTCTGCCAGGCCCAGTCTTGGCACTTCTGACCACGAAGTTCGGCCTGCACTCTGGGCCTTCAGCTGGAGGTCCCCTCCCCCTCCACTGGCCTCCTTGCTCCTTGGCGGGGGATTGGGGTGCACCGAGACCCAGCTCCTGACACCCAGGGGCCCTGCCACCTCTGTCCCCTAACCTGGCCCACCCACCTGTGTGCAGCCTGTGTCCCTCTGCCTGGCATGCCCCCCGCACAGGCTGCAGGGGCCCACAGTCAAGTCTTGCATGCCGCCCGTCCCCGCCCTCCAGCCCATGTGGACACAGGGCAGGAACAGAGGCCTGGGGTGCCTGCTCCCAGCCCTTTTTATCACACGAGAGGACGGGGTCTTGAGGGCACCAACTTCAGACTGGCCTGGCCCTGCGCCGCACTCCTCCCCTCCCCGGCTCTGGGGCACGAGTGTTGGTGGGGGGAGGCCTGGAGTAGAAAGAGGTTAGGGTGGTCCTCTGCCTAGGAAAAATAAAGCCTCCCTGCCCCAGCGGGCGGTGACAGGGTCTTTCCACGAAGGGCACAGAGATCCCGCCTCTCTAGGGGCGTGGAAGGAAGCCTGAGGCCCCGCTCCAGGGTCCCTCCACCGTGGCCCCCAGTGGCGGGGAAGGGGGAGGTCAGTCTCCAGCACACCCAGCCAAAGTTTTGAAATGTACTTTAATTGGCTTGTCTCCAGGACTCCCAATCCATGCCTTGTCTCTCGGGTTGTCTTCCTCCCCTCGACCGGGGGTGTCCAGATGTGAGGGGGCAGGTGCAAGGATCAGAGAAGGTCCCTGGCAGCAGGGGGAGTTTCCCCGGCAAGGGGTTCCCAGCCGCCCCGGGGCCCCAGCCACAAGCACACGAGTGTCAGGACACAGTCTCTTTAATGGGAAAGGCTGGGGCCTGCCCCTCCCCACCCGTGGGCAGTGCATCCACGAGAGGGTGGGCATCAGCCTTCGGGTCACTGCAGCGGGGGCGCGGACAGCGAGGCGTGGTCGAACAGTGGGTTCCGCACCTCCATCTCTCCAGTCTGCGAACGCTGGCGTTAGGTGGCTCCAGGGCTCGGGAGGGACACCCACCGCCCACCCCCGCACTCACCGGGGCCAGGCCGGGGCACTCGTACACCGTGAAGTCGCCGTCTTCGTTCTCCTCGTCGGAGGAGGCGGAGTCCAACTCCTTGGGGGTCTCCTTATGCCTGGGTGGGGGCAGGATCGTCGGGTCCTCCCTCACCCTCCAGGTGCCAGTAGCCCGGGATAGGGGCGGGACAGCGGGCCGCGTCGGGTCCTCCCTCACCCTCCAGGTGCCAGTAGCCCGGGATAGGGGCGGGAGCAGCGGGCCGGGGTAGGGGTGGCTGGGCCAGGGGTGGGGCGGGGCGGGTGGGGCTTCTCACCGCTCCAGGCACCGCATCTGCTGCCTCTGGTGCTGGTAGTGGTACATCTCCGCGCTGTGCGCCAGCCGCTGGTCCCCGGGCTGCTGTGGGAGTGCGGAGACAGGGTCAGGCCGAGGCAGAGCAGCGGAGTGGGACGGGGCGGAGCGGGACGGGGCGGGGCCAGGCGCCGCCACACACCGAGATCCTGGGCGTGGCTGGGGAGCTGGGGGCCTGCGGGGCCGCATAGTCAGTCTTTTGGGTCAGGCGAACGTCTCGCTGCAGCCTGCGGGGAGTGGAGACACCACACCTGAGACCCGCGGGGTCACCGCCCGGCCGCCCGGCCGCCCGCCCCCAGCCCGGCCCCATGCTCACCGACACCAGCAGAGAACGGCCACGGCAAGGGCGGCCGCGCCGGCCACGGAGCACGCCACGATCAGCACTGCAGGGAGGGGGCGCAGTGAGGGCAGCCTTTCGGGCAGGACCCTGCCTCCCCGCCCGGCCAGACTTACGGAGGGCAAGGCCGTCACCGCGCCCGCCCCGCGGCTCCAGCGGGGACATGTGCACAGGCCCAGATGACACAGCGGAGCGCAGGGAGGAGGTGCGGGGCGTGGGCGCTCCCCGCGTGGAGGGGAGGCCCAGGTTGGGGCCCCGGCCACGCTCTGAGAACCCCAGGGTGGATGCTGCAGAGGGAAAGCAAGTTAGACGGCAAGACCAGGCTGGGGTCAAGGGCGGTGGGGAGTTGGACAGGGGAAGGGGGCGGGGTCTCACCAGCCTCCAGGAGCCGCTGTCGCCCCTCAGGCTGGGGTGGGGCTGTGAGCCTGGAGTGCCCCACCTCCTGCCGGGCTAGCTCCTGGGCCAGGAAGTCGATGTCATCTTCCAGTCTGGGCTGGGGCAAGCCCTCCCCTGGGGAGGATGAAGGGCCATCAGGTGGAGGGAGAGGCCCCCAGCCCCTCCCTGGCAACACCAGCTACCGGGAGCCTTCCGAGAGGGCGAGAGGGAGAGGCCCATCTGGGCGCCAGCCCCAGGCCGAGGGCTGCTTCTCCCCCCAGGCACCTGTGCCCAGAGGACCAGGTACCAGCCTACCTGCTCCTGGCCATCCCGGTTGCCATGGTGACAACTGAGGGAGCTCTGTGTGAGCACCAGCGCTCCCAGGAAAGCGGGCAGGGGGTGGAGGTGCTATGGGAACGTGCAGAGGCCAGGAGAAGGGCAGGGGTGCTGCCCCACACCCCACGCATTACCCACAAAGCAGTGAGAGGAGCATGGGGACAATGCATCACCTGGCCCACTGCCTCTGCTGCCAAGACGAGCAGGACCCCCCAAGGAATGCGGAGAAGCCCCATTCTGTACCCCCGCCCCCACCAGGTCATCAGGAGGAAGGGAGGGCAGCTGCTGGGGTGAGGCCGTGGCTGGGTCCCCCTCATCCCTGCCGTGGGCACCAGTCCGGACAGAGGCTCCAAGTAGACGCCCCTGCTCAGCACCCAGAGCGCAGAGCATGCGCCTTCTGCGGCAGGCCCCCGCCCCACTTGCTGCCAGGAGCGTGCTCCTCCAGGAAGCCCCTCCCAGCCCACCCGACTCTTCAGCCCCCAGAGCACCCTCTGCAATGCCCCATCACACCTGGAGTCACTCTGGCTGGCACCATCCCGACAGACTCTGGGCTCAGGCTGGCGGGCAGGGCACCGCCAGCGCAATCAAGCAGACAGGACAGGTGAGCGATGGAGAGAGAGGGGTCGCTGGGCAAGGAGCAGGGGCGGCCCAGCGGGTGGAGAAGGTGCCTGAGGGGTTTGGAACCAACCCTGCAGAAACCCAAGCTTGGGGAACTCTGACCCTGCCTCTCCCAGAATCACCCCAGCACTTCACACTGGATACCTCTTGCCCTGGGAGGGGGCTAACTGCCCCAGGCCTCAGCCCACCACCCAGCTCTGGGCTGGTGCCATCTGGAAAGGATCACCAGGCCACTTGGAGGGTGACTTGAGAGTCCCTGGCACCCCACAAAGCGCAGGAGACCTGAGAGCTAAGGCTGGGGTCAAATGTACCAGGTGGGGGAGGGAGGAAGCCATACCCTGAGGCTGGTGCATCCTGGGCATACAGAGCCCCTGCTGGTCCTCCTGGAAGGGCTGAAGGCAGGGCCCACAGACACGTGCACCCGGGGGGCACCGTGCCCGCCTCTTCAGGGCACAGTCCAGGCTCCCAGGACACACGGCTGCATCTGAGAAGAAAGCGGAGGCAGAACAGGGTCACAGCCAGCCTGACTCAGCCCCTGCACAGTAAGTAGGACTGTCCTGGCCGCCCCAACCCCTCCCTACAGAGCTGGCCAAGCCTGGCTCCGGCCATTGTTCTGGGCAGGCCCTTCCTCCCCTGCACCGGGAATCAGAACCATGAAGACAAACAGTCCTAACACTTATCGGAACTCTCTTGCCTCACTCCCTCCCCAGAGTCCACTTCCCTGACCTGAGCCAGCTCTCCACACAGGAACCGTCCCCTACCATCCAGAGAAAACTGAGCTCTCCCGGTTATGGCCTTGCAGCGCTCCAAGTGCCACCTCCAGTCTCAACCTGTCCTAGAGCGAGTCTCTCACCCCTGCCCAACCTGGGAGCCCTAGAGGGCGGGGCCCAGATCGCTCCCTCCCACCACCTCGGGGCTGTCTCCTATTTCAGGGCTGCCTCCCCACCCCACCCCCACCCCACCGCACCCCACCGCAAACCTCATCATGACATCCTACAGCCCTAGAGGGCCAAGCTGGGAGACAGCACAGGTCAAGTCACTGCCCCCACATCTAACCTCTGGCTTGTCCCC